GCATCGGACATCCGTTATTATTTCCTTTTTAGCTAACTAATGAGTATAAACATATATTGTTTTTGTTTTATTGAGATGTGTGGCGCAGTGCACTAGTGCGTTGGTGTACGGATCAGGGGAGCACAGGTTCAAACCCCACTGCAGTCAGCATGTCGGTGTGTCCCTGAGACACTTCACCCCAAATTGCTCCTGTGGGGATTGTCCACAGTATCGAGTATGCTAGTCGCTTTGGATAAAAGCGTCTAACAAGTGACATGTAATGTAATAATAATGAGATAAGAATATTACTATCAATACCAAGTGTTTAGCCTAGCTTAGCATTAAGAGTGGAGATATGGGCAAAAGTAAAAAAATGCAATTATTGTCACTGAAAGAGCTTTTGTTGTAATGATCTAAATACAGAGAGCAATCAATACATGAAATGATCCAAGTTTTTACCTATTTATTTTATTAATCTGGTATTTTCGGCTGCTCCATGACTTGAATTAGTCTTCCTACATTCTTGTTTTACCTGAGTGCAGTCATCATCTGAGTCTTTTTATATCTGTTAGTTCTACAGCTGTGAGTAATAACAAAAGCCATTTCCTGCGAGATACTTTCACTGGAAAACACAAAGCAAAATTGGGCTGACTATGCTGATGAGAACGGTAACAATTGAACACTTTAATAGCGAAATTACCTGGTTGGAAAAAGCTAAACGATTACCTGAAATCCGCAAAAATCCTGAGAGGAACTGAACCACCCGATGATTCACTGTTGGCTTGTCTCTACGAGCAACACCTATTTGAAATACTATTAGTCATCATGTCATCTATTATCAATATATACATCTTGATATTGGATGTATGGATGCTCTAATTGCATACTGAATTGATTGAGGATTTAATAACGTCAGGGTTAGGGTTAGAGGTTTCTCTACAAACCACAAGAAGTCCATTTAAATGGCCATTCCTTTATTAAGGAGAATCAATCCTTCACTCAGTATAATGTCCTATGTCTATCTACAGAAATGTGAAAATTGTGGGGTGTAATTTAACAAATTACACATTTACACATTGCCCTTTTTACACATGTCTCTCTCCCCAGCATCTCAACCAACCCTTCAGTTTCCTTTGCTTTCGGCATCAGCCCCGGTTATTTTTAGCTCGGTCCAGGGGGAGTGGGAGATGGAGGGAGAATGACACAATCCCTAATAAACGGGTGGATGGGAGGAGGAGGAAGACGATGAAGAGGAGAAAGCGTGGGCGCATCCACGATGGGTGCTCATTTGAATAATCATAGAAACAGCTGCGTTCACAAAGGTGCCACGACGGCGATGAGCGAGATGCTTTGGTTGGAAATCAATAGAGGTCCTCACGGCTGAGAGTTTTTGGATGATAGGCGTGACTAATAAGTAGAGCACACTAATTAGAAGTTATGTGGGACATGCTAATTTGACGGGACGATGACAACAAAAGCGAGAGATGATTTGTTGCCGCATGAAAGGATTTGATGCCGTAACGCTAAACAATCGTATTGAAATTCTTCGGCTTCATGAATATTGTAATCTCACTCTCTCTGAGAATAGAATTGATCACAATTTATCTAAAGTCTAGACTGAAATTTAGGATGAAATAATGGATGCAAATGCTTTTTAAGATCCTCTGACTTTTCTTCTTGCGCCTTAAGGGATTCAACTTGTGGTTTTGAGTGAAATTTTTTCAGCATTCATGCTTTAAGTTGAATTTAAATGACTTTGGTGATCCAATGCAACTCATTCCATCTGGTCAATAATGTTATAATTATGTTAACATAACTGCAAAACTAATGATAGGCCCATCACCCTCATCTGTACTTTATGTTAATTGTTAATTAGCACATTGCTTTAAGCTAAACTCAAATGGGGAAAAAGGAAACATTAAATTGGCATGTTTGCTTTGTCAATGTTAGCACATTAGCATGTTGTGTTAGTATTTAGCTAGCAGTTCAGACACACTCACTGATGTATAAAGAGAAAGCAGATGCAGCGTCTGAGGCGGAGAGCCGTCGTACCGGGTAGTTTATTTAGCTCACATTTAAATATATGCTTATATAAAAATGGTTCTTTCCAAATGTAAATCAAAACGTTTTTTTTGGCCGAATTCCTAGAATGGAAGTTGTAGTACCTCCGTTTGGCCACTACGAAAATGGCTGGCGCTGTTCCTGGGGTCTGGGCCGACTAGCATATCTCAACGCTCAACATATAAAGATATTCATTACATTACATTACATGTCATTTGTTAGACGCTTTTATCCATACATTCAGTACCGTGGACAATCCCCACAGGAGCAATTTGGGGTGAAGTGTCTTGCCCAAGGGACACAACGACATGCTGACTGCAGTGGGACACGAACTTGCTATCCCCTGATTCGAAGTCCAGCACACTAACCACTGAGCCACAGCCACCCCACCGCCATATTCGGCCTTTAGATTAGCATTGTCTCATTATAATGCTTTCAAACCTTCATTTCTACATATGTTCACAATCCCTTTATATTTCATTGATTCTACATGATATTAAAGTGTTGAAGGAGGCCGCGTCATTAAGCTTACTTTAAAAAGACCTTAGAAATGGCCGAAGCCATCTGAAAGATATTTACATTTTAGTTTTATGATATGGAACAAGGCACACACAGTCCCAAATGACATAATAACTGACAACTATTGTACTTTATTGTAGTTTATACTACATCCAAACTATGTTGCATACTGATTTTCTCCTAGAGTTGTAGTTTAATGAATAACATGTTTTTCTCTTTGGCTTATAATCAAACCATCTGGGCTCTCGCTAATGTATTGCCTTTTATAAATCAACATAAGTGCTGTATTAGAAGATAATGGCACCAGCTGTAGCACATGTTCCCTGTGTTTACTACAGAATGAGAACATATGTTGTAAATGAGGGGGAAATGGTGGTCACATCAATGAGCTGCTGCTAAGTGCTCGCCAAATGCTCCTTATGAATGACTTCACTAATGACACTAAATGGCTTTTTCAAAAGCACTTTCCCAGCGGGGTGAAAAAAAAACGACATCTGTAGAGCTTCCTTTCAAAAAGGACTTGTGTGTTTAATCCAGGAGTTCAACAGTTTACAGTAAACAACAGAGAAACACACTTGAGCCAAAAAATAAATATATTTAGTTCTTTCTGTTTTTAACTAAATAAACCATTGCGTAGAGTTACGTATACAGACCACTTTGACTGGAATACAAATATTTCTGCCTCTTGGGCCACTCCAATAGTGACATCAGCTTGCCTGTACATACATCTTACATTAAGTGCACCTAACAGGGGAATATTTATGTTGCAAGTAAAAGGCACTCAGAGAAAAGCTGGGCCATGCCAACACACTCAAAGCAAATTGACCACAACCACTTGAGAAAAGGAATAGTTTCATTCGAAAACCATGGGTATTTATTTCAGTTCGACCTAAAAAAAATACAATCTGAAATGTACTTGTGACCGGTTACAAAAGATAATAATAATAATCATGTGCTTCACTTTAATAGAAATTGTCACTTTTGTTATGATATCTTCAAATGGCAGATGTGTTATTTTGGAATGAAACAATTATAATTAATACTCACAGCAACACACTTGATATTATTACAACCAGAGAGCTTTTCAAATAAAATAATAGTGTGGGCGACTGACCGGGATAGATACGTACTGAACTCTGTGTCTAAATCTGTGTCTACTCAAAACAGACGATACACAAATACAGTCTGTACAAAGACTATCATAAGACACTCACTGTTGAGGGGACATTCAGAAAGGCTGCTACAGTTTTAGAAAGACACAGTACCTACAGTATTTCTGATATTTCCATAATAAGGAGAATACACAGTATATCAGTGTATGTACAGGAATGAACACGTCAATACTCTGAGGGATTATCATAGATCATCTTGGGTTTTATTAGCAAACTGTGAAAGGGCATGGAAAAGAAAGTAGGTAAACCAAAAAGGAACAGATTAAGTGTAGCTTTGGTGAGTGCACACACACAGTAAACATTACTATGTGACAGTCCTGTTCTTGAATATTAAATTCCCCAAAAACTAAGCAGCATTCTCAGTTAAGTTTAATGGAAAGGATATTTTCTCCTGGATTTCAGTTGCAGTTTTGAACATGTGGTAAACAAGTTGAATTACAAAACAAATCCAAACTGCAACAAAACCAAGTGGTTAGGTTTGGTCAAAGATTATTATTTAACTTTGATCAAGAAAGTTGGTTCACAAAGGACACAAACATCGGCCTCGAGGGGTGAAGGTACGATGTTTGTTTATCCCACTCAAACATTTTTACCATCCTAGTTGTGCTCTAAAAAAAACTAATAAAATCAGAGTGAGAACCTGTGTAGGCTCGAGGTTTGTTTAATCCATCCATCCACCAACTCTTTCTACTTGCTTAGATTGGAAATATATGTTGATCTAACAAAAACAAACAAAATCCAGGAGAATATTTTACCTAACCCTAACCCTTTACCAACTAAAATGACAATGCAGTTTAGTTGTAATAAAACTTAATTGTCAGGAGAACAGGCTGCTTGGGAAGTGTTGTAACAACTCTATTTGGTAGGAATTTTCAACACAAAACCAAACAGCAAACAAAACAATTTTGTTAAGTTTGGAAATGAGATCATGTTTAGACTCTGAAAATGTATGTTTGTTACGTAACTTAAAGGTGGGGTAGGTACGTTTGAGAAACCGGCTCGAGATCGCTAGAATTTGAAAATACACAACAGGAGAAAATCTGCCACTTCCTTACAGAGCCCCTCCTCCAACACACACGAACGCGCACATGACCAATGAGGGCACGAGATAAGTCTGTGCACAGATGGAAGGCTGACAGGCAGGTAGGCCATCCAGTTATTTTAGCCGGGCCGGCTAAAATAATTGGTCGTGCTTTTTACAGTACTACGGCTTCCACAGATGACATTTTTTTATGGATTTTTTGTCAAAGCACTTCAGATATTCATTGCTATCGGGATGTTAAGAGCATTCCATGGAATATAACAAAAAGTGTATCTCGAGCCGGTTTCTCAAACTTACCTACCCCACCTTTAACTTGCATTATGTAACTTAAAAAAAGGGTCACGAACATCAGAAGTTTTGATGTTCCTTTGACCGAACCACCCAAACCTTCTCCCTGCTTATGTTAGAAATATATTTGTAAAACGTCAGAATCAAACAAACTCCTGGAGAAAATATGTTTTTCTTTTAGATGTATTAATTAGACAATGCAGTTTGATTGTATGGAAACGTACTAATTTCAGGAGAACAGGTTGCATGGTTGCTGTCGTTGCAACTCCATGCAGAAGAAACTCGAACCACGTGTGATGTCCAGTAAACAGTTTATCAAAGAGTTAGAAATCAAATATCATTAACAAATACAAATACATCGCTAGAGCTGACAATAAGCTGCTGGGTTTCCTTTAACACTCACCTGGTGCTAAAGACCATACACATCATAGTTACTGTGGGTAACACACTGCTACATTTTTTATCCACAACTACGTTTTTGCTTTACAAAGAACCATCTGATAGCTATAGTTGCTTCAAAACACATTGATATTGATCTTTACAGTCATCTGATTCTAGTGTATGGTGTTCAAGAAAGGACTATATCCAGGACAAAGGCATTAAGACACAATAGCTACCACCCTGTGATACAGCTAACCTCAAACATGAGGAATGACAAGTTAATCCTCCCTGCACCCGGCTAGGATTGAACTCAATGCCTATTTCTCATATCCAGTCGCCTATACTGTATAAACTAAAGTGTAAATCCTTCATGGGAGAGCAGCGGATAAAAAGAAGAAATAAACGGATTTTCCATCAATGCTCACAAGGAAATGTCAAGTGGTGTTCCCTCTGGTTAGCTCAGCATGAGGCGAAAAGCGTATTCAGGCCATTCTGTTTCTTTGTTGGTGTGTGTTCACTGAAGCATGCCTTTAATGGGATTTCCTTGTCATCCAACGTACAAGTCATCTACGTCAAGTCCAAGACTGTGGAGAGCAATTTCATGTGCAGCGACTTACAGTCCATTACCTCTGAAGCTTAAGACTCCATGTAGTGGGGCTTTTCTATTGATCTGGCACAGCTGGGTTATGGTTTTTGCGCCACAAAGCTTGGTGGCAGGAAGGAAAAGAAAAGTGTTGACCTTTGTGTCTCGTAATACAAAATTGGAGTGCAGGTGGAAACATAAACGAGAGAGTGCATGTGTAGAATTATTCACTCTGGGTGTGCTCGCTGTTTCTAGCGTTATTTTGCCTGCACTTTCAACTAATGAGTGCACTGAAGCAGTTTGAGAATAAGTGGCCTACGTGCAAAAGGGCAACTAGACTGTGGTTTGTGCAGGGAAGGAAAAATCCTCTACATCCAGGCTGGGTTTTATCAGAATGAACTTGTGGTCCTGAGCTCTTTTTACTATTATGATAACCTTGGTTGGAAAAACGATGTCCCCATATATGCCTATTGCCCAGTTTAACCAGCAAAACATAGGCGTATTTTGCTTTGCCTGCAGATAAATAACCATTGGTATATAACTATTCCTGAGGTGCCACATTGTTCTGACACAAGAATCCTCGGAGCGATAATCAATAATGTGCTTTGGGCTCCACTCACTATTAAAGTTAATCCATAACTGAGAAACACGGAGGCAGAACAGGAGAAGGGGAGTTTTTAGAGGGGCGTACAATTGACCCTGGCAATCAATCATGTCTAGGTGGTAACCTTTGATTTTGCAAGAATGTTCAAGGTTACGCATTGGTTTTGAATCTTTATGGTTAGAATAGAGTTTTATGAGAGTTTTATGAGTTTTCGCCAATTTCTTTGCAAATGTAGGGTTAGGGTTGCCATCTAGACACAACACTTTGTTTCTGTTCAAGATGGTAATGATGATAAACTTGCCTTTTCTGAATAAACATATCTTTATCACTGTGCTAGTGCATAGCAGAAAAGCATTGATTTCTCTACATCAAATTCTTCTTTCTCAGTTCTCTTTCAAACAGTCCAACTTGAAGTGCTCCGTCCTGACAAAGAAAAGGATCTGACTGGAAGTCTACCCTCCATCACAAAGTGCCCTGATCAGCGGTGAAGAATCCACTCTCCTTCTTTTTCCTCTTCCTCAGTCTGTGGGCCCTCCAGCAAACGGCCGCCACGAGCAGCATCACTACGCCCGCACACAGCAGAGCCACCGACACCACTTTGGTCTGGAGCAGCGTGTTAAAAGTGAACGTCACCCCGGTGCCCGCCATGCCGATCACCAGCGAAATCACGCCGAACGGGAACACACAACGGTACCAGGACTTTTCTGTCCCGCCTGTAGCCTGGGCAAGTCTCTCCAGCGTGGGGAGAGTCTCTGGAAGTCTGGGTTCTCCTTCCCTGAAGCCATTCAAAGCCTGGTTCTGGTTCTCAGAGTCCTGCGGTAAGCTGTTGGCCTCGCTGCCATTCCCACAGTCCAAGTCCGGGTGAAGTACCGGCGCCGGGGTTTGGCGACCTGAAGAGCAGCCCATCTTCGAGCTGTTGTTGGTGGGTAACGTCGCTAGAAAGGCTGCCTGTTGTCGGCAGTCCTCTCAGCGTGCGTCCGATAGTTGCTTCTGGCGCTTATGATGCTACAGGGGGTTTCTCTAAGGTTGCCTCTAGTGCCGTCAATGCTAGTGGGGTTGCTTCTGTTGTTGTTGCTATCAATACCTGCCAGCATGTGCCTGCAATAACAGAGATGCACAGAGAACAGCTGAAAATAGAGTAGGAGATAAGGAGATAAAATAGTAACATTCCAGCTCTGCCCCGGATAAAAACCTACGAATTGGTACAAATAAAGAGGTGAAACAGAAAAGAATGCATCAAGGAAATGTCTGTTATTTTAAGCCTCACACACACATGCAAGAGCTTCAAAGACGATGCACTCACCCTGCTTCTCGGAGTCTGTCAATGGGTGAATATTTTTAGTGCAGCCTCCTCTCCGGAGCTGCTTGTGGCAACAGCAGCAGCGTTGTCTGTGTGTGTGACTGGAGATGTCCATAGACTATATAATAACAGACGAGAAGAGGAGGGGCCTATGGGAAGTGTTAGACGGGATAGGGCTCTGATTGGCTGCCTAAGCCGGGGGATTGCGTGGAGGAGGGGTGAGGGGGAGGTTAACTGTTCAGTGGTCTCATTCAGTGATATTAATTCATTATTTAGTGTGACAAGGAATTTGAGATGTCCCTCAGGTGGTGCCTTGTTCAGTGAAGCTGTAGACTGCAAAAAGAGGAAAAGAGGCAATTTAAGCAGTGAAATCTTAGATGTAAATGACATCATTGCAGAAGTTGAATTGATTTGCTGTTTGTCTGGAGATGCAAATGATGTATGTGCAGCACGTTTTGAATGTCTATCTCCAGTTTTCATAGTTGCAAATATTATGTGACCACCTCGAATATACCCAGTTATTTTTACAACACTGAGCAGGATTTCCACCGCTGGGCGATAATGGAATATGATTACTTTTGGCTGGAAATCTTGTATCTGAAATAATGCCTGAGGGTTGACACATTTTTCTAAGCTAATAGAGAAGCATGAAATGTAATTATTAAGGATTTAAAAAAGCACCCATATTGCAATTAAGAGGTTTTTGAAGCAATGTGTGATTCAGGGTTTATATGAAAACATGCACACCGAGTTAATTAAAAACACGACTCTTTCCACTCCTCGCTCCTCTGTCCTCTCGTTACCCCCTTGCCATGTGCATCATGCGTGTTCCCCTGCACAAAGGCATGCAGATAGCCTTGTCACGGTCACCGTCCTCGTCAGATTTCCCCCATATATGTCCCCTTGTTGTTCAAGCTGCCTTTTCTCCTCTCAGACAATGACAGTGAGACACACGAGCCACTGTCACGCATCCCTGGGGACCGCTCGTATCACTGGCCATAGATTAAACCAAAACGATGATAATAGATATCCTAAATAAATGATCTTCTTTCTTGACGCAATGCAAGTCCCAATCAAAAAGATCTGTTTGTAATTATCCCATGTCCGTCAGCAGCTCCGAGGGAACAGCAGTAATCACATTGGTTGAATTAATTCTTCAAATTGTGGAGCCGCAGAACAAGAGTTTTTATTGCTGGAGCAACTTGAAAATGGAAAAAGGGAAGTGGAAAGTATATTCAAGCAAAAACCCTGCTGTGGGAATATCAAACACAGGCGGAGGTGGTTTGATACGCAGCTCTTTCATTCATCATTACCACCATACAAAGTACTGTAATCATATTTCTTTGAGTTAAACATGTAAGCAATGCACACTGGCATTGTTTGAACCTGTGATAGTTTTCAGAGTAGTGGAAATGTTACTTGAGTTGTGAGTGACATGTTTGACTGCAACCATTAGAGCTCTTTATTTCCCCAGCCATTCACTTTCTATTGCCTCAGTAGGCTACACTGGAACAAATGAGATTTGTTTGTTGGCCTTGAAACAAGGGCATTCACCGCTCAATCAAACAAAGTGCTAGGAATTCATTCCTTAGTAAGAAAGAGACTTTTCAACATGACAGCTGCTTTAAATCAGCAGGCCATTTTCACAGCAAACATTTCAACTGTTAAATCATTCAGTATTCAAATGAACTTGAAATTGTAGTAACATAACTGGAAGACACTTTTTATCAGTAACATACTTTGAAGTCATCGTTTTACTGACATTTTTATAAATTCTGTTGTGACGTCTCCAAGAACAAATGTATTGTTATCTTACTGACAAGGCTTTTTTGTTGAGAAATTCAAAAGACATCATTAGCGTCATTAGCTACACCTGTGCTTTGACTGCTGTCAAACAGTCTACGAGAGAAGTCTGTGATTCATTAAATACTTCTGTTTAAAAGAAAACACTTTCCCTTTTTACTGCATATCAAATGATAGTTGTCTCAGGTTTTTCTGGAGGTGGGTTATTGGGTCAGTGCTTCAGTGCTAATGAGCAGCAGGCTAGCTCGCAAAGCATAATGAGCAGCTTACTTAGCGCCTTTGTTCTCATCAGGACAATGACCCATTCATTTATCTCATCATAGTGTGGAAACAACACATTTAGGGAGACCATGCCATTATCCCTTGTTGTATTAAAAGCACAAAAGTTCAGCTAAAGGTAAGACTACTCGATTATTTTTATGCCTTTTTCACAGCAGACATTTCAACTTGTACCTAATTTAGCATTTAAATGAGCTTAAAACTATCATAATTCACCTAGTTAGGAATATTTCATCCTCACAGTGGTCATTTTACACTTTGGTGTGCTGTTTCAAGTGACAAATAAAATACTAGCTTACTCGCACACCTACTGCTTAATCTAAGACACATTATTAGCATCATTAGCTACCCTTGCCTTTCCTTCTGTTACAAGTCAAACAGTCCACAGTGAGAGAAGTCTGTGATTCATTTATGCTGACAATATTTCTGTATCAAAGCAACACTTTCCCTTTTCACTGCATATCAAATGGAAGTTGTCTCAGGTTTTTCTGGAGGTGACTTAATGGGTCATTGCTTCAGCGCAAGCTAGCAAAGCAGAATGAGCAGCTTACAGCGCCTGTGTTCTCACCAGGACAATTACACATTAAGTTATCTCATATTAGTGTGGAAACAACACAACTATCCCTTGTTGTTGGATTAAAAGCATCAAAGTTCAGCTAAAGGTAAGACTACTTGATTATTTTTAAGCCTTTTTCACAGCAGACATTTACACTTTTAGCTCATTTAGCATTAGCCTAAAACTGTCATCATTAACTACACCTGTGCTTTCTTTGCTGTTAAAGTCAAACAGTCCACAGTGAGAGAAGTATGTTATATATTCAATTGTGACAATATTTCTGTATCAAAGCAAACTTTTCCTTTTTACTGGATATTGTTTATTGGGTCAGTGCTTAAGCGCTAATTAGCAGGGCAAGCTAGCATAGCACAATGAGTAGCTCACTTAACGGCTGTGTTTTTTCACCAGGACAATGACACATTAATCTCATATTAATGTGGAAACAACATATTGTGTGAGGCCTTGCCATTATCCCTCGTTGTTCAGCTTAAGGTAAGAAAGTACTTATTTCCTTTTTTAGCGTTTTATGAGTCGTGACCAGCGTGTGCTCAATTTAAGAGCCGTGACTCATTTTGTGTTTCATTCTGTGTTTGGTTGTTGTAATTAAGGCATTAGCAGTCTTCTGTGATTTGGTATAACCGCATAATTATGGTGTAATGTGGATGTCATCTAATTGTTGAAGTTGGTTAGGAAAAGGGGTGTTTTAAACCATTTTGGTAAATATGGCTATTAATAGATTACACTGTTGTAACCGTTGCTGTTTGTTCATCAGCGATTCGTTTTTCTTATCAGTATAAGGAGGCTCTTTACTGTCATTTGTTCGTGGTGACGTACTTTCTGGCCTAAAGCTAAGGTAGCCAGCCTCCACTAAGCATCTGCAGGTGTTAAAGAAACAGCAACCAAATGCAGTCAATCTGCAGTAAAAATACTGAACACGTTTTAAATGGTTCTTGTTCCAGCCTGTACACATGTTGTGTGCGATTCCTTTCCATCCCTTTTCCCAACAACTGTTCACAATAAAAGCTCCATTAAGGCGAGAAATGGAGATCATTTGCAGACTAAATCACTTGTGAAAGCACAGGCAGGGAAAATGATGGCGTGCCATTACGTGAGACTCATTTATGAGCCACAGGTTGTTGAGTGTGTGTCTTCATTTATGGAAGGACACTCTAAAAGCTGCCTTCAATAGAGGGAAAGTATGAGTGTTTCAACACACAGTGGGGAAAGAAATGTGTAAAGGAGGAAGAGGAGGAGGTGTGTATGAGAGCTTTAGAAAGATCTTACACACTTCTGCCTGCTGTGCTGCCGTCACTCGTTCACGCTCTGCAACAATGAGGAGCTTTGTGCCAAAGATAGGCATGCACCAAATACATGTCAACACCCACACACACACACGAGACCACCCACTGTACACACATAGACACATAAACACATACTCCTTCTAGGTCAGTGGAGGAGGTGAAATGAAAAAAGAGAATATTATGGCGCATTTCCACTACAGAGCGCAGCGCGGTTTAAGCGTGCCGTGCCGTGCACGGGCCGTTTTTGGTTGCGTTTCCACTAGGCGTAGTACCGGCTAGCGGGTACTATTTCACAGTTTTTCTGGCCCCATAAAATCGAGGTTCTTATGGCGCATTTCCACTACAGCGCGGAGCCCCGTTTAAGAGAGCTGTGACGTCAGCGGCCCGTCTTTGGTTGCGTTTCCACTTGGCGTAGTACCGGCTAGCGGGTCCTAATTCACAGTTTTTCTGGCCCCATAAAATCGTGGTTCTAGGGCCAGGAACAACCAGGCTGAGTCGGGCTGAGTATGCTAAACTAGAGAGAGAATCGCTGGCAAGGGGGCTACAACTACAACAAGATGAACATATTTGACCGTGATTTAATTGTAATACACGTTTCAAAATGATGCCGAAGTAACAACATACTGATACCGGTTAGTAAAAACCATGAATTAATGCTTTGACAAGTCTGCAGACAGACGGCAGGCGAAAAACCTTTTAAAATGCGTGTTTTCTGAATGGAGATCGGCTAAGCTAACGCAGTGTATGCTCCGACCGTCCACACTCACAACAACGGCCTACAGACATAAATAAACCAGCGACTGTATTCGCCATGACACAGACAGTCTGTGGTTTGTACTTGTTTCACTTTTGTCTAGTTTCTGAACAGATATGAGGAGCTGTGAGCTCTGAGTGCTAACAGCTAACGGTTGTTTTACTGTGGTTCGCATTGAAGATGACGTCACGGCTCCGCCTACACTGCGTTACTATAGTTACGGCCCCAGTTCCTAAACTGTAATGGAAACGCAGCATAAAGTGAGCCTGGCCTAACACTTAGTAACTATACCGTACTAAGCCGAGCGAGGCCCTGCAATGGTAATGCACCATTAGAGTCCACTATGTGCAATATAAATACCATTACCATCATTCCAAAACACTCTCTGCTGT